GTTCTTCATACTGGCATAGTACTCTTCTAGGGTTTTATTCCCTTGCTGCAGATCGAAATACTCCTGATAGAGCTGATATACCCTTGTAGTATTATCCTGCCTAGAATAAGGCTTCTTGGCAGGTTCCCATATGTCCTTAGCTGTATCTAAGAACATAAAGTTGGCACTTATTTTGGGTTCCATACTATTCCATAACCATATCATGATTTGGGCATCTTCCTATTCCCAGTCATCAAACCCTGGAGAGTCAGCTGATGGTTTATCTTCCTTCACGTGTTTCACTTTCCTCTTTGCCTGGAGAAAAACTTCCACTGACTTGGCCCATGGCACATAATTCTCACCATTAAGTTTAATGGAGGTCATCTGCACACCCAAATAGTCGGAGGGGATCATCACACTTGGTTTCTGATCACTGGAACCATCTCCCGTTGCTGCCATTATGTCCCCCACTGCTATCTCTAATGCTGAACTTTCAGTCACCAACCAAATACTGCTGTCAAGGCAACACTAAGCACACTGATAACAATCTCACAACTAGTCACAATCTACAACTTGATGTAGACTAACATTAAGGTTAAGAACTGGATGTTTTGACCAGATTCGGCTACCATCCAAATTAGAACATTGATGAAAGCTACCAGGCTGAGGTATTCGGCCACTTCTTTCAGCACAATTTTTTCTGTTCACACCACCACTAACATCCTAGAAATATTAGGCACCATTACAACAACACAACACTCAAGCAACCACACACAAAAAAAAAATCTGTTCACACCACTACTAACAACCCAAAAATAGTAGTCACCATGACAGCAATGCAACAACTCGAGCAACCACACACAAACCCTCTTGAAATTGTTCAGTAGAGGGTAAACACCACAAGCACCACCACACGACTAGGGCTGTCACACATGGTGACAGCAGTATTAGGCTGATATCCTAGGGTTGCCGCACCTTCCTAATACATGTAATAGGGATTACGGCAGTCCTAAAACAAAAAATAAATAACAGATGCCGCAGCTATCAGATTGTGTACCTCAGATTCGCAGCCCAGAGAAGAAGAAAAAAAAGAGAGAGAAATTGAAGTCGTAGGATGGAAATCTTGAAGTCGCAGCCTTCTTCTCCTTCGTTTATGGCTCTGATACCATGTTTTGACAGCTCTGTTTAAGTAGTTCGAAATAGTAGAGAGTAAGAGAGAAAGAAGAAGAAGAAGGAAGAAGAAGAACAGTCGAATCTGATAGCATAAACCCTATCAGTCAACCCTAATATGGATTAGCCTCTAATTAGTTGTACAAAGACTAAACTGCCCCCCACTTAAGTATGGGACAGGAAGTCTCTATTAAAACTGCCATATAAGCACATAACTTAACAGAAATAAAATGACTAATCCACCCTTATTCGGCTAGCTCTAACAAAGTCAATACATCTTGTCTTCTTTGTGCTAATTAAATTCTAAAATTTGGCTCTGTTTGGATAAGCTTCTTCTTTTGAGCTCTGGGCTGTGAGAAACAAAAATGACCCAAAAAAGATGTTTTGAGTGTTTGGTAAGAGTTGATTTTAAAACCATTAGCCAAAACACTTAAGCCCCAAAACACAATGCCTAAATTGGGGCTTTGTGCTTTTGAACATTAAAAGCACAAATCCTGAAGCTTATCCAAGCTCAACCTATGCTATTTATAACTTTATCATTTATTTTATTTATTGGTATTCACGTGGAAATAAAATGTTATTATTAATTCTTCTTCTGGTTGAGTGATGGACCACCCACTCTATTACTAATTAATGTAGGATTGATGGCTTTGATGCCAAATGGTGTATGGCAAATTATGATTGAAGGGTGAGTCTGGGAAGGTATTGGCTGTCTTGAATATGCTTTAGGAAAGATTTAAGCATTAAATATAGAGATTGGTTAATTTAGAAAGGGCCTTAGGGCTTAGCTGCAGGAATTGCAAGGTTGCCCTAAAACTATGAAAATTTTCGAAATGCTTCTATGAAGCTAGATGATTGGAAGGAGGTTCAGAATGGCCAAGAAGACGCAGTTGTTGATATTGTAGTTCAGTATGGGGTGTTTGTTAATTATCAAGAAATGTTATATCAAGATAGATCAGCTCAGGTTAGTGGTGAGGTGGAGGAGCATATCGAGGCTGGACAATCCAATGTTATAGGTGCAAGCTGGGAAGTTGTTGCTAGTGATTTGGATGAGGACCAACACATGGAGGTGGAAGGACTGAGTTTGGAGGATTGGAGGAGGGTTAGTGAGACCCTACAGAGATGTATGAATCATGCTTGGGGTAAGTCTTTTATATTGGTGAAAAATCTTGAAGTAGAAACTGCATCCCAGGTGACACAAAATCAGAATCAAGAACTTGATGCCAGTTCAATGATGATAGAAATTCAGAGTGGGGAAATATCTGAAAAGGAAGCTACATCTGTGAAGAAGGAAGATCAAAACCGAGGTTGGCTATAAACAAATGGAAATGATTTATAGATCCTTGCAACCAAACAAAGGGTTTCACCCTTGGTATTCATCATGACGTGTTCATTTAGTCACAAATTTGTTTTAAGAGCAAATGCTCTATTGTATAGATTCTTTTTGGGGTTAAGGTTTTGTACCCTCCCCTTCTATGTCCCTTATTTGATTATTAATAAATTTTCTTTTCTTTAAAGCCAAAAAATGCATATTTTTGTATAGCTCTATGAGTGGTTGTTTGCTTTGTGCTTATACTGTGACATAATTGCACTATTGCTATATTGCTCACTTTCTTAGGTTCATTATGCTTTTAGTTTTTGCACGAAATTAGCATCCAACATTTACAATTTTTCTTTTCCTTTAATTTGTTAAATTAATAGTATTTATTCTCATTTCCTGAGTACATAATGCAATTTTGGATGCAGTCAGCCAAGGATTTGTGTGTCAACAACCAGGCTACTGATTGATTGTCAAATAGCTGCTATTCATGGTTTAGAAGTTAGATAATCCAGTTGAAAATGTCTGACCAGTAAACAAGAAAGAGGGAAAACATTATAAATAAAAGGAATCTACTAGAAATGGATAAAAAATGAAATTTGACCAAGTTTGGCAAAAAATTGTCTAGAATTGATCTGGATCATTTTCACAATTGGTTTTGTTCAGAGATGGTTGAATTATCTAGTCCATTCCAACTAATTACAAATGTAAATGAATACAGGAAAATTACATATAAATGTTTATAGATTTAGTTCTCATGTCAGTCAAACAATCGAAAATCTTAAAAGAAAAAAAAAAACACTTTCTGGCCAAGTAAATCAACTAAAGTTGCATCGGTATTAATTTGTTGTGTGAGGTTATAAATACTTCTTTACTCTTTGTTCTTTATTTTATTATTTTTTCTGAACAGGGATCCATCATTGGTTGTCCAAGAGAACCGTGGCATGACTTGCATTGTAAAATTGATGGTCCAGCAGCTTATGACGTTCTTACCAACTTTGAAGAGCGCTGGTTCAGGGCTTCAAAACCTCATGGGATTAAAAAATTGAAAATGGCATATGATGATTCATTACTCAGATTAGAAAGAATTCCTGACATGGTTGGAATGCATGATGCTCCTTGCTTAAGTGAGAATGATCCAGAGACTTGGCATGTCCAGGTAAATTGGATGGCTTATGCTGATATGAGGTTTTCAGTAGTTGATGTGCTTTTTAGTAACTTGTTTCTTTCTGTTGATAACCTCAACAAATAAAGGTTTTTCGTTCAATTGATTCATCTTCTGTGAAAGGGTTTCCCAAAGATCCAAAAGAAGCTATAAACAAGGTGAGGGGAAATAAATAATTAGCTTTCTTTTGGTGATTGCTGCATTCTAGGAATTATTTGTTATTGCTATTATTTCTTGCATGACAGTATTGTATTGTATGCAACAGAACCTTGTTTGTGGTAAAAATGTCCTGATTGATATGAGCATACATACAGCATATGTAAAGGCCATCCGAGCTGCCCAACATTTCATTTATATCGAGAATCAGTACTTCGTTGGTTCATCATATAATTGGGCTTCAAACAAAGACTTAGGTGAGGAACTGCAACTTTTTTATAAGGAGTGAAGACTATGTCTTGTTTGGGTTGTCAATGAAGTAAAGATGTGTCTACTTATTGACTGAAGATCATATCTTATATGACCTATTGTGATTGTCTTGTCAGCAAGAGTAGATACAAACTCATGATGGTGCCAGACCCTGAGATGTTACTTGTGATTGATAATTGTCTTATGTTTCACTTGTTTGTGATAGAATAAAAAGAATTCCATAATCTTTAATAGAGTTAAATACTGGAAGAAAAGATGATCAATATAAGAGAAGAACAGAAGAGAAGAAGATTGTGGGAGGAACTGTCTTGGTGGTTAACATTACAAATATACCCCTACAGGAGAAACATATAAAAACAACATAAGACAGCAACAAAAAAACGTAAACAGTGCAAATATATAATAATCTCAATACCCCCCCCTCCCTCCTCAACCTGAGCATAGATATCAACCATGTTGAACTTGCTTGCATTACTTCTCAACTTAGACTTGACCCCCCAGGTAAACACCTGCAATTTTATGCTCTTAAGGCACAAAATCACATGTTCTCTAACAATGTGTCTATCAACCTCAATGTGAGTTATGCAGGAAGCTGAAGAACATACTACCACCTTTTTATCCTCACCCTTAAAATCATCAGATAGGGATGATGTCTTTGGTCTCAAAGATAATTTAGTAGAATAATCCATAAAAGGTGTTTGGGGCATCATGAAAGATGATCATCAAGTGATCATTATGTGCAAAAAGTCCAACAGAAGGAATGGTAAAATTTAAAATTTTTGGATCGATTCCAATGTTGCAATTGCACATCATGAAAAAACCAGTTTTTCTCTTTGGATTGTTAGGGTCTATTGGACCATGGCAGATCAAATATATGAAGTTGGGAGAAGGTAATACCTGATTTCAGATGCCCACAAGTGCAGAAAAAATCCAAGTGGCGTTCACATCCAAGCTTCAATCCCTCCAAGAACTACACTGAAGATGGCACAATGATGGTGTAAAAAGTTCAGGTTCGATCTCTTCTAGGGGTGGATTCAAGCTGAGCCAACTGTGAGCCAAGCTTCATTAAAAATAAAAATTATACATATAAAAAATAAAAATTTTACATAAAATTTAAAAATATTATATATAACATAAGCTCGATTAAGCTTGCGGGCTTTACGAGCCGAGCTTCATTGGGCTTGATCTCGGCTTGATTAACAAATGAACCTACTGAGCTCAAAATTGGCTCAAATCTCGGTTTAGACAGAGCTGAATTGAGCTTTTCACGAGCTGAGCTCAAATGGCTCGGGAAAATTTTGGCTCGTGTCCACCTCTAATCCCCTCTAATGGCAGCAACTTGTTGCTCCTCTTTGGCTGAGAAGCTATTCTAATTATCCCACCAAACAAAGCTGGGAATGTACTCTCAAAGGGCTAGTCAAAGTATGCTGGAATGGGCTTCAAAATCCTAGGCAATTCTCTCTTAATTGTGTTGGGCCAATTAAGCTAGTTTATCTTACAAGACTAGTAAATTCACCCCTCTCTAATGGTCTTTATATTTTGTCTAGGATAGACTTCAAGAACCCAGTCCTTTCCTAAACAAAACCTCCTAATCCTATTAGGATACTAGAATAGTAGGAAGTTCCCAACTTCAGCTCACTTCCTATTATCTAGGTTTTCTAACTAATTAGAAACTTTCCTAGTCAAACTAGTCAGAGGCCTAATCCAATTAGAACTAATAGGAAACTTTTCTCACTAAGACTCCTGACCTCATTAGAATACACATTAGACTTTCTAATCTGAATTCTAAATCCATTAGGATATTCCAAGTAAGTCAACCTAATCAAAACCTAGGTTGACTAGTACAATTAAGCTACAAAACCATTTTGAGCATAAAAAAACAGCTCATTTGAAACTAGAAGTGATGGGCCTCCTGGGTTATTTTTACATAAAATAATTTTGGTCCATGTAGTGACTCCAAACCTAAGGTAATGGTCCAATCTGTCTGGGTAAGACTAGGATGGGAGAGGGAAGGGGTTAGGCACCCCTTTCCTATTTCCAATAGGTGGGGCTCACATGGGGTTCTCAAAGCAAGCACAATCACCAAACATAAACAAACTAATAAGGAGCACTGAACCACATGGAGGAATTATCCAATAAACATAACACGAAAACCAATCAACCAAGTTAATTACCTAAGAGGGACATTAACATCAACATGCAATGAGAATTATAACATAAAAAAAAGAAACATCCATTAGCATAGAATAAGAACCCATTCATGAACCTAAGAAAGAACAAACCAAGGTCAAGAATCATTTAATAACATAAAAGCAATAGTGATACAAATAATTATGACAAGAAAAAAAAAGAATGCAATGAGAAGGAAGACATAACCCAAGCATAGAGTTATTCAGCAATAGAAGAGAGGAGTTTTCTATAGCATAAGGTAAAGAACACTTAACGTAAAAGGGAGAATTAATCACTAATGCGAGATGAAGACCATTCAATCACATTAGATAAGAATTATCTAATCAAAAGAGGAGAATTACTAAACCATATAAAAAGAGAATTAAATAACATGGGATGGGAATTACTTGGTAGGATAAACAGACTTAATGATATGAAAAGAACAATTCATTAATATGAATATAGGATGAAGCTTACGTAGTCTAAAAGAGAGGACAGTGCGGTTTGAATTATTTATTAACAAGAAGAAAACAAACAAGAATGAGGAATGCTGTCTAGCATGTAGTCATTAGTGAATATCAAGGGCAATGAAAATAGCAACAGATCCTACCAATTTAAGGAATATTGGTCATGAAGAGGCAGAAATAAAGATCAATCAGATTAATTAACAAGAAGAAGAAGCTAATGATCAAACATACTGATTCATTCAATTAAAAATACTAAGGGTCAGGTAAATGAATAAACCTTAGAAAGAAGTGAACTAAGAGATCAAATGAGGTTAATTAATTTCAATAAAGGGGTGAACCATAGCTATAGGTGCTAAGTTGATTCTGATGAAAATTAAAAAAACAATAACCAAAAGAAAAAGGAAGAAGAAAAACAATTAGGAATTAAACAAATTGGGAGAATAACAATCATTGCAATGATGGAAGCTAACGGAAATTAACAGGTTTTGACTGGCCAAGAACTTGGCATTAAACAAACTGAATTAATAAAAGGGAGTTGTGCTAGATATTGGGGGTTCCACACTGGTCAAATACCTAACAGTCTCATCATTTAGGTCTGAGATTACCCTCGTTTGTCATTGCAACAGGAGGACCCAAAAGATTAATATTGTGACTTCAACTTGGGGAATTGGGTTACAGATTAAGCTACTCAATAAGCTAAATCTAGGCTGAGGTGAAATGACAACAGATTGGAGATTACCACCCTTGATGGTGTGGTGAGAACCTAACTTAACATTGTTGACCTAGTTCGATGACTTAGGAAGAAAGTCGGGAAAATGAATGCATTTTTGAATAAAAATTGATAGGGTGGGGCTTTTATGTGTTTTTGATTGACTGATGGGTTCTGATTAGTTCAAGGGCACTCAAATCAAGGGAATCTAGAGTACGAGTATTTCAGCCAATGAGAAAGCCTAAAATAAAATTTGTGTATGATGAAGGGGTAAATGAGGGAATTTTGGAATGAAGCTTGACATGGTAGGTTTTTAAGGGTCTTGGACAAATTAGCAGGGTTTGATTGGTTCAGAGATGCTGGGGTCAAGGAAATCTAGAGTACAAGTGTTCCGACCAATGAGAAAGCCCAGAATGGAATCTTTATCAAATGGAGGGGTAAACATAGGAATTTTAAGCTAAAATTTAACTATGTAGGGTTCTTGAGGGTCCTAGATGAATTTTCGAGGTTTGATTGGTTCAGAGATGTTAGGATCAAAGGAATTCAGGGTATGGGTGTTTCGATCAATGAGAAAGCCCAAATGGAATCTTTGTCTAATGGAGGGGTAAAGATTGGAGTTTTGGGGTTGAAATTTGGTGGGTAGATGTTTTGAGATGTCTGGAGTTTGTTGGTGGTGTCTGATAGGTCTGGAGTTGAGTCAAAGGGATAGATTTGAGGCTTGAAGGTTTCAGCCAATGAGATGTACTGAAATGGAATTTAGGTTTGGTGGAAGGCTAGATGGTGTGGATCAAAGGTGATTGAAGGTTTCAGCCAATGAGATGGATTGAAATGGAATTTAGGTTTGATGGAAGGCTAGATGGTGTGGATCAAAGGTGAAAATATGTGAATGGGTGATTGAAGGTGTCTGGGATCTAACAGGAAAGATAGATTTTCAATCGGATGGGTAGAATGAGAAATCTGATGGATGAGAGCATCTTAGGTTACATCAAGTTGTCCAATCTACATCATTAGAACACAATCTAGGGTGGTTATTGGGTTAAGAAAAGAAATTTTGTCATGATATTTCTTAGGCTAATTGAGGTTGTACTTTTAGGTTTAAAGGCATGGTTTGATGTCATTGCTGCGATGTGGTTGAGCAATTTTACACTTTAAAGGCCTTGGGTAATTGGAATCACTGAAATGGAATCTTTGGTAGATGGAGGGTGGGATCTTGGAGTGGAGGTAGAATTTGATCTTAACAGGCAAATTCGGCCTTAAACCCTGAATTTGCCAACATGGCAAATTCGACCATAGGGTGTTGGGCCTATACTTAAGCTTTAAGTGTCAAACACTTAATTTACTTGGAGCTTGACCATCCTAAGGGCCCATGTCTAATTAGTTCAACCCATTTAAGTGATTATCAGGTAATTAGCCCAACATATCATTTTGCAAATAATTTCTCTACCATTAACACCCAACGCTGCATATGGGAAAGGACTTATTTCCTCTTAGCTTGTATGACATAATGTGCAACCTTTGCCCTGATGAACCCTACTAGAGGATTCATATAATCCTATTGCTAGAAAATTCAAGAATTCACCATAGGAAGCCATACAAAGTGTTTTCTATGTTGGTATATCAAAGGCAACCAACATACCCTGAT